GGGCATTCATTCTTCCAGTGGCCAAACCCCTTGCAACTGGCACACTGGTCTCCTGCCAGGGGCGCCTGTCCTCTGGTTCCCCCCTTTCATGGAGGTCTGGGACGCCTGGACGAGTTGGATCTACTGAGGGCAGCAGACAGGAAGGCAGCCTTTTTCTTTATCCTCTGCTGTTTCTCCCTCTGAGCGGTCTGGTCCCAGTTGACTTACACTTTCTGGGCCACCTCCATTAACTGTGTGATGCTCATGCCTGCAAATCCTTCGAGTTTCTGCAGCTTCCTCTGAATGTCAGAGGTCAATTGCCTGAAGAATGCTGCATTCACCATTCTCTGGTTTTCGGCTGCCTCTGGGTCGATAGGTGTGTATATTCGGTATGCCTCACAGAGGTGCTCGTAGAAGTCATAGGGTGACTCTTTGCTTCTGAGTAATTAGGGCAACCTTGTTCATGTTGGTCGACTTTTTGGCCCCTCCTCGCACTCCTTGGAGAAGAGCCTCTTGGTACTGCTCCAGTGCCACTTGTCCTTCTGGTGCGTTGAAATCCCACTCTGGGTTGGTCTCAGACACCGCTTTTGATGCTCATTGTTCCACATCCAGGGTCCCCACTGGCACCTGTTCCTGCAGCCTCTTCCAAGTTCCAATCATGATCCGACGCCATTCTTCGGTACTGAAGAGAGTCAGCAGGAGTTGGCAATCTTCTCAGTTGGGACGGTGAGTCTGGAAGATAGACTCCAGGAGGTTGATGAGGGCCTGCGGTTTCTCCGAGTAGGACAGCGTATGGTGTTTCCAATTCAACAGGTTGGTGGTGGAGAAAGGCTGATAATGCAGGGCAGGTTGCCCCAGCTGGATGGTTCTGTCATCCCGAACCTGCGGCGGACCTCGTATTTCACGCAGAGGCATCTGGAAGGCCGAGGCAGACTGCAACCGGCAGACGAGTGGTGGAGATGGCAGTGGTGGAGAAACCAGTGGTGGTGGGGTGTCGGATGCAGTCCCAGTCACCACTCTCCACAATGAACACATGAAACTTCTCAGCATGCACCTTACAACTGTTGGCTTGGATTTGGACCCTCCCATGTTTCAACTGATTTAACCAGCACTTCTGTTCCCTACTCCACCTGACAACACTCCTTTTCTGAACCTTGTCCCTGCCCAGACTCTGGGCCCTGCTCTGGCTCCTCCCCTTTCTAGACAAGGGGTGGGGGTTTCTCTTATGTGTCCGCCTAGCTGCGTTCCTCAAGGGAACTTAGGCGCGTCTTGGCAATCCCTGTTATGCCGGCGTCACCACAGAACCCCACATTAGGACCCACTCAAACAGCTTCCAGCTGTGGGGCTACCGACACAATGACCGCAAGCAGTCACTGTTCCCTCCACATTCACTCAGAGGTTACACGTTCCCTCCCCTGGGGGATACCTGTCCTTAGGAACCAATGGGGCTCCTCTTCTGTCCCACTGACAGGTGTATCTCGGGTGGGTCCCAGGGACTCTCCCTTGTCCGACGTTCTGGCCTTGGTCAGCTGCTCCAGCTCGCTCAGCCCAGCACCCACCCACTCAGCCTCCTGCTCTTGCCCGTGCACCATGGAGGCCAGCACCTGCCGGGAGGCCTGTCACAGCGTAGCCTGTGTCAGTGCCCCTGCTTCCCCTCCCTCAGCAAGGCCTTGGCAAGCTTATTGCCCTTGGCCAACAGCTCTCCTTCTCTCTTCTTGGCCCTGGAGGAAAGAAATGCTGCTTGGTGCTGGCTCGTCTCAGCCCGCCTTCCACCGTCCCTGTGGCTTCAAACGGCCAGCTTAGTCAGCTTTCCCGGTCAGGGAACCAAAATGTTGCGGCAAGTGTACAGCTAGTGTTACAGCTCTTGACCAGGGAAAGAACTGAACGGCACAGGAAGAGTCGGAGAACAGTCCTCATTCTTCCAGCAGGATCAACCCAGCGTTACAGCTCTCTTCCCGTCTTCTGTCCCCCTTCCTTGTTCTCCTCCTGCTTTTATGCCCTCGGTAAGACTCCAAAAGCATCCAATCAACTACAAGCTTTAACATCCAATCAGCATTAAGCTTTAACATCCAATCAGCATCAAGCTTTAACATCCAATCAGCAACAAGCTTTAACATCCAATCAACAACAAGCTTTATTATCCAATCAGCAACAGTGGGATTCAAAAATTACCCAATCAGGATCATGCGAGCAGCACAGCCAGATGACAAGAGGCGGCCAAGTACCCAGCTCAGCCAGACAGCAGTATGTCAGTGTGTGGGCGGAAGCGGGTGGCGGCACATGTGGCCCGGGCTGCACATGGGGCCCCCGGCAGCAGTACACTGGCCGGCCCCAGCGGGTGCCCTCCAACCAGCCCCGGGCCGGCCTGCAGGGATGGGAGCGACAGAGAGGTGGCAAGTGGCCCGTCCAGGCACCCGACATTTTCTGTGTCAAGAAGAAAGTAATAACTAAAACTATAAAATAGATGTAAAACTGTCATTTTATAAAGCAATATCATATGTATATGTGCATGTGTGTGTATACAGAAATGTACACACACATATTCTAAACAAGGAATTATATTCATATTAGTAAATCTATCAAAGTTGCAGGATTAAAGGCAAATATTTTAATTGAATTTTTTATATATAGCAACAAATATTTAACAGATAGTTTTTAAAAAATAATTTAAAATTTCATCAAAATAGGATACTATAAATAAATGTAATAAAATATATGAAAAATATGTTTGAATGAAATTATCAGTCATTAATGAGACAAATTATAGAGAACGAAAAGAAATAACTTTTCTAAGCGTTATAAGACACAAGTTTGTAAAGATTTTTCCCCAAATTGACCTACGATCTTTAAAATGAGCAAAGGAAGAGAAACCGATTCTACTGTAAGTCAAGATTTATCTTAATGTTACAGTGACTGAGAAAATGGAATTTGGGCACAAAGTTAAGTAAATAGATAAATACAAAATAGAGAAAAAGAACCACATATGTATGGTAACTTGAGTCACTACAGATTGGTACTTCAGAGTAATAGAGAGAAAAATGACGCTGAGTCAATTGGCTATCTGTATGGAAAATGTATAACTGGTCCCCTTCCTTTACTTCAGACACAAAAATGTGTTACACAGAGAGTATAGTTATAAATGTGCAAAGTCAAACAATACACTTCTTAAATTAGAACAGGAGACTATCTTCTTGACTTTGAAAAAGATAATAATTTCTTAAACAGGACAGAGAACACATAATATAAAGGAAAATATTGATGTTAAATCACAATAAAATTAAAAACTCTGTTAATAGAGGAGTGACATAGGCCTTCCCATGTGTAGGGAATGAATGGGTAAATTTCAAGACCTCCTGAAATCAATTGAAAAAAGTTCTTTGAAAGTCATTTCAATTCTGGAAATAAATCATTAAAAATGTTTAAAATATGTTTATTTATGTGTACATATAGTATTATATATTAATAAAAAGTTGGAAATAATGAAACTCCTTACTGGAATCAAACAATATTTAATATTAAATGTATATAATAAAATATAATGCAGCCATTGAACATTGCTATTTAAAGACATTTGCCATTGAACATTCTATTTACAGAGACTATTAAAATGTGAAATTCAGTGTAATGTGAATAAGAAAAGTAGGATATCAAAATGTTTGCAAACTAAGAATCCATTTCATAAAAAATAAATGATATTTGTATAGAACAAAGATAAATAATAAAAGTTGGATTAAAGAATATAATGTTCACTGAAGTTATAGATTTGTGAACTAAAGTAAGAGTAATTATTAATAATATCAACCATATTTTTGGGAATATGCAGTGATGATAAAAGGACATAATTGTCTTATTCACTTAAATACCCTAGAATTTATAGCGAGACCATGCTATATGCTAAATTTTGTCCCCCTCAAAATTCCTATGTTGAAATCTCAAGCCCAGAACCTTACACTCTATGAGGTAAGTGAAAATGAGGCCATTAAAGTGGGCTCAAATTTAATGGGACTGATGTCTTGTAAAAAGATAAAACTTGAACACACAGGTTGTATGTGCACAGAGAAAAGACCACATAAGGACACAGAAGGCAATCATCTGCAAGTCAAGGAGAGAGGCCTTGATCTTGTACTTCTAGCTTTCAGTCTGTTGTATTTTGCCATGGCAACCTTTGCAAACTACTTAGAGAATTGACTTTCAAAAATCTTTTCTTTGATTGAGGACAGCGAGAAAGGACTGAAGTTGAGAAATTAGTTGGGGGAGAAGAGTCTATTGATCTTCAAAAACAAAATGGTATTCTGGAAAAGCAGTTAGGATGAGATAAAAGCTTAAACGTTAAAAGTCCAATTTATATAGCTTAAGATGAAAAATTCTTCTTTGAAAAAATGCAAAATGTCTGTAATAAAGAAACTCCCTACTGACTCTTGTGGTCTGCCTTTGTTTAATTTTAGTTTTAATTTTAATTTTGCCACTTTTATTTTAACATTCTAAAATATTAAATTGATATATTGAGGAAGCTAATTGTGATTCCCTTAACAGCTTCCAGCTTATGCAAAAATCTCCAGAGTCCTTAAAAGGGTTTCCTGGTCCAAGTCCTTCCAATTTCTAGCCTATTTAAATTGAAGATTACATATCTACTCTATAAGGGTTTGCTTAAGAATTGAATAAAGAAGCATACTTGATTAAAACAGCACTGCCAAAAAAAAGCCAGGAAACAACTCATGACCTTATATGCAGACTTCTCAGACACCCAAAGTTCTTAAAAATTTCACTCACTAAATATGAGAACAATCTTCCTTGGTGCACATTCACACATGAATTTAAAGGCCATAATTCAAGGAAAGGCACTTGTAAAGAGCTCCTGCAGGAATTGCTTTATAGGATCAAGAGCGGAAACAGTGCTTCTATTGTGAAGAAGACAAAGCTCTCTGTCCTTGTCTGTTATTTGAAAACCCTATGGACAGCCTGGTTTGAATTCTCATTGTGCTCTTGACACAGTGGGTCACACTGTACCAGCCAGTACCAGATCTTGTCACAAGGGGAAATCAACTGAGTGATGGTAAACCCGACGAAGGTGGATAAATTCCTGGCTCTTTCTGACAGGAGGAAGAGATTTGGAAAAAAAGAATAGAATTTTTCCCCAGAGGTAAAGAAGGCAATTTCTTTATGTTATGCTAAATATTTTTGTTTCCATGCACACTTATCTGTCAGGTCTCAACTTTGAATTCCTTATATCAGGGTAAATTAAATAAGGGCAATGATATATGAAACAGAACAGTTGTAAATTTAATGGAATGGTGTCTAGGTAAACAAGAGAAAGAAACTGTTGTTACAATGTATAGTTTCTTCAGACATGCTCCACACAGGGTTCCTGAGAGTAAAGCCAATAGGATATCACTCATATTATTGCTCATCTTATTACAGCAAACAGGACCAGGAAACAAACGGAGAGTCCCAAGAGAGTGCTGCAAAACAGACTTTTTTATTACGTGTGGGCTCAGAGGGGTCTCGCCTCCAAATTCTGAGCAAATGGGGTTAAAAATATGCTGGTTTTTATATGCTCTGTTATGAGAAAGTTTGTGGTTATAGAAGAAAAAATGGTTACAAGGCTTGCATGAGGTAAGGCTTACAAAAGTTGCTTAACCATGCTATTTGGCAGTTCTGCTATTATAAGATAGAAGTTACAAAGTTCTCTATAGTTGCGTAATCATGCTATTATTAGAAGGGGAATGCAGAATTTTTCCCTAAAATCTGATTCGGGTATATTCAGAGAAATATCTACTTTTGGCTCTATAATTTTTAAATGAAAATAAACACTGAACTGGAAGCTAAGCATGTCTTTCTTAGATTCAGAGTGTTAGTTGTAAAATTGGGAAATGTATTTAATATATTTTGTGCTATAGATACCAAAATGACAGAGCAAAGATCAATAATCTTTAGAGGTTTTCCCAGATTTAGTATTCTATATCATTTCTCTTTGTTTCATCTTTAGATTTAAAATCACTTTTTGTAAATCAACATTATACTTCCTGGATTAAGGAAAATAAGCATATTTATATACTGAAATATTAGTATCTATGTGGAGATGTGTTTGTGAGAATATAGCATCCTCCTTAAAACGTAAGTTATTACTTCCCCCTCACTAGGTTGGTGCTGTGGGATTATACTCTGGCTCCTCCAATCAGTGCATCTCTTGAAGAAGTAGTTGTCCCTTTCATGTTCTAAAAATGGGAAAGTGGAGCAGCTGCTCACAGAGAAGAGGGCAGGGCAGACATCATTCAAATTGATGCTGATTATGAGTCTAGAGTGATCCATTGAAGTGCTAATGATGCAGACTTATAGCCTCTGGCCTAAATGTTCTGAACTTTGCTTTCTCTATAGTGCACTAATTCTCCAGTACAAAATGAAAGCTAAGGCCCTTCTTCTAAGCAATAGGTATTTTTCACAGAACAATGTATAAGAAATTATTGAGGGGGGAGGACTTCTACAATGCACAAGTGCTCTGTTTCTTATTTTAATGACAAAGACAAGTGACCACCGTCCTAGAAAACCTCCCAGACAAGTCACATTTATAATTTCCTGGGTGTAATTATGTCCCAAGAACTTAAATCCCATAAGCTTTGTGTTTTCCTCAAGGGTGGAATTAGTATTCAATTTGTGAAAGTTTCAATTTCAAAACCTGACCTCTGTTTTAGGCTTTTAAATTCAGCTTGCAAATCTTAGCAGACGACACCAGAGCCTAGCATATTTTAACAAACTTTGATGTTGAATATTTTTTTTTCTCATCTACAAACCAACTTCAAAACTTCCATTTAAATATAGAAGCAGAATTTACATATCTAATATATTTTATTTATTCTTTAGAATTTAATTTTTAGATTTAAAAATTTTTTGAGTGCCTAAATAATTATTATAAATATATAAAAATAGAATTTATAAATACTGTGAACCTAAAGTTCTCTTACATGTTGCAGAACCATGAATACATTTAAAAACATTTTAAGGTAAAGTATAATGTAAAATCAATTATTCAATTATACATTTTAAATTTGAATTACAAGGCAGTTATTAATATTATAAAAGACTAAGTTCTCTTAAACATACAAGACTATATAATTGTGCATTTGTTCTCTCATTTTGGTTTTCTTATTTGTAGCTTCCTTTTATGCATATGTTGGCTCCTCTTGCTTATGCTCTGTCTTTACTACTTTCTCTAAAATTTTATAAAAAATATATATATATGTATATATATATATATATCCCTACTTCACAGCAACCTCAAACTCCTGAGCTTAAGTGATCCTCCTGCCACAGCCTTCCGAGTAGCTGGGACCATAGGCACTTGCCACCACACCTGGCTAATTTTTTATTTCTAGTTTTTTTTGCTCAGCTAATTTCCTTTCTATTTTTAGTAGAGACAGAGTCTTGTTCTTTCTTAGACTGATCTCGAACTCCTGAGCTCAAGGGATCCTCCCACTTCGGCCTCCCAGAGTTCTGGGATTACAGGCATGAACCACCAGGACTGGCCTACTAAAATCATTTTAATCTCATATTAAATGTGGGTTTTCTGCACCTGCTTTATTTACTTATTTATTTATTTTTCGAGACAGGGTCTCCTCGTTTTGCCTGGGATTGAGTGTGGTAGTGTCATCACAGTTTACTGCAACCTCACACTCCTGGGCTCAAGTGAGCACTCAGCTAATATTTTTTCATTATTGTACAGAAGTGGTCTTGCTGTATTGCTCAGGCTGGTCTCCAACTCCTAGTCTCAATTGATCCTTTGACCTCAGCCTCTCAAACTGCTAAGATTATAGACTTGAGCCACAGTGCCCAACCTCCATCCTGTATTTTTGATAAGGCATTCTCAGTAGTAGTTACTCTTATGTTCCTCATACTACAAACTGTTTTATTTATTTTATTTATTTTTTTTGAGACAGAGTCTCACTCTGTTGCCCTGGTTAGAGTGCCATGGTGTCAGCCTGGCTCACAGCAACCTCAAACTCCTGGGCTCAAGCAATCCTCCTGCCCCAGCCCTCGAGTAGCTGGGACTACAGGCATGCACCACCATGCCCGACTAATTTTTCTCTATATATTTTTAGTTGGGCAATTAATTTATTTCTATTTATGGTAAAGACAGGGTCTCACTCTTGCTCAGGCTGATTTCGAACTCCTGACCTTGAGCAATCCGCGCACCTCAGTATCCCAGAGTGCTAGGATTACAGGCGTGAGACACCATGCCAAGCCTCAAACTGTATTTATGAAATGATTTTTCCCTTTCCCTTTCATTTCTTTCTCAATCTCTGTCTCCTCTTTTTTCATATTTATTGAAATTGGCTGATGCAATTATGGAGACCTAGAAGTTTCACAGTGCACCGTCTGTAAGCTAGAGAACTGCGGGGAATTAGCTACGCTCCCAGCAAAATCTGGTCCCTTTGGCAGGGGACATCACAAGGGATATGGAAATAAAAGAAATAGAAAATAGAGAATATAGAAATAAAAGAAGACACAGAGACAAAAGTATGGTTTTAAAAGATGGGGAAATCAGGGTTCCTCTAGCATTCCTGTGAGCTGTGAGACCCCAAACGAAGTCTTGTGTCAGTATTTATTGCTGAGAAATCAGTTGCCAGTGGTAACAGATTTACATAATAACAGGTAGTTCCTTTAGGTTTAAAGTCTCCCCAAAACCTTCTAAAGATCCCTTAATTAACTCTATCTATGTTAGCAAATGGTTACAAAATCTAAGATAAACTTCTGAGTCCTAAGATAAAATTATCACTTAGCAGAAAGGCTAAACAGAAATATAGTGGCTGTATATTTCTGTATCTAGTTTTTTGTTGATTGAGACAAGTACTCCGGAGTGAAGCAGGAACTGTCCCTCAAGCCAATTGTCTCTAGCTGCAGGTGTCTGTCCGGCAGTCATTCTTTGATCAGTTCTCAACCTGTGACCACCCACCTAGCTGTGTCCTGCAGAGGTGTCAGACACAAGCAGCCTTCACGTCTGAGACAGCATTGCCATGCAAATGCTCCTGACTGGTGAGATGCCCTCCTGAGGCCAGGCAGCTTTTGATATGTAAACTAACACATTCATTAATTCCTTCAAGGCAATGCCCTGCAGAACTCCTGAAATCTTTTATCTCTTATAGGCCAATAGAGAACCAGGAAAGATAGCAAAGGCTTGTATTCTAAGGTTAACAAGGGAGGCTTGCTGGTGTAAGCCCTAGAGTCTGAAGGCCTGAGGATGAGGAACTTCGATATCCAAGGCCAGGAGAAGGTGAATATCCCAGCTCAAGAATCCCTTTCTCTGCCTTTTTGTTCTATTTGTGTAGGCCTTCAATGGATTGGATGATGGCCAACAACATTGGTGAGGGAAATCTTCTTTCAAATGTTAATGTTTTTTAGAAAGACTGTCACAGACACATCCAGACATAATGCTTTGCCACATCTCTGGGCATTCTCAGATTACTCAGTCAAGTTGACTGGTAAAACTAACCATCACAGAAGCCCCTTGCCTTCTCACTTTTGCCCCCTTGGGCATATTTACTTTGTGATTTAGGTCTTTATGCTTAGAGTACTTTGACCCATTCTATTTCATTTTATAGTTCATAGCAATACATTTTTATTAGTTTGGAAGTTTTCTCTGAGATTTTTCCTTTGTAATTTTTAGTGAAAGAGATTCAAATAAATAAAATATCAAAATAGGGGGAAATAACACTACAAGAATTGTTAGGTTCTGAGCCAAGAGGGAGATACATGACGCCTCAGGAGAAGCAAAATGCTATTTATTTGAGCATCTGGGTGCAGACGGGTGGAGGCCACAAAAAGCATCCACCAAGAGGGAGGGGAAAGCCTTGGATTTTATAGAGGGTTTCTTGGAGGGGAGTGAGTAACTGGGCCAGGAAAGCTACTGTAACACATTTTTTGGAACAACCAATTTCTGGGACTCCTGTATCAGTCTCATCCTGTGGAGATAAAGGAGAGGGGTAGCTTCCTCCTTGTCAGGGGGGATAGGAAAGCCGGTGTCGCTGCAGCTGTCTGGTCCAGAGTTAAATTTATAAACTTTGGACTCCCCAGACACCTGCAGCTTTTGTTTCACAGGCTTCATGATCACTATCCAAGTTTTCCACTAACCACATCACATCCTACACG